GAGTAGCTGGGACTACAGGCGCCCGCCACCTCGCCTGGCTAGTTTTTTGTATTTTTTAGTAGAGACGGAGTTTCACCCTATTAGCCAGGATGTTCTCGATCTCCTGACCTCGTGATCCTCCCGAAAAAGTGCTGAGATTACAGGCTTGAGCCACCGCGCCCGGCCAGAGCAAAAGTTTTTAAGCTGACTTTGTTTTTCCCATCTTGTATGTACAGTTGAGCTTTGAACAACATGGGTTTGAACTGCACGGGTCCACTTATGTGTGGATCGTGGTATGTGGAGCCTGTGTATATGGAGGGCTGGCTTTTTGTATATATGGGCTTCACTATGTGTGGATTTTGGTATACTCGGGGTCCTGGAACAAATCCCCTACATATACTGAGGGACAGCTTGCCTGCTTATCTCTGATACGTGTTTCAGCCTACTTACCTCTGACATGTTTGATACTTTTCCTTTTGCAGCTGAAATGTGGAGCATGTGGTGCCATTGGACACATGAGGACTAACAAATTCTGCCCCCTCTATTATCAAACAAATGCGCCACCTTCCAACCCTGTTGCCATGACAGAAGAGCAGGAGGAGGAGTTGGAAAAGACAGTCATTCATAATGATAATGAAGAACTTATCAAGGTTGAAGGGACCAAAATTGTCTTGGGGAAACAGCTAATTGAGAGGTAAGAGATACCAGGCAGGAAGTGCTATGGGACGGATTCATTTGAGTTTGGTTTTATTGGTGGCTGGTGGGGGTAGATGTGATGTGTTCTCTGAAATGGAACTGAAGGAACAGGAATTTTGATGGCTTTTCCTCAGTTATTGTTGCCAGTACTGAAAATTATAGCACTCATTAGGTTGTACCACTTGTTTCGGAGCATGCTGCCTAACTTCTGAGTCTGTTTCCTTAGTTACAAAATAAAACCACCCTTACCAGGATAGTTAAGAAGATAAAATGAGACAGATTACAAAGCATACAGGATAGTGCCTGACATATAGTAGATGCTCAGTAGATGTTAGTTATCTCTTCTTGTTCTACTTCTAGATACTTAATAATATTTGCAAGGTCCCTAATATTGTTGTGTTTTTTTTTTTTTT